GGCGGAGCCGCGAGCGAAGTTTGGCGCGGCAGCTGGCAGTGGGGCATGACGTCGCGCACGTGCGGCCGCAGGTGCAGAGCTTCCAGCGTTCTTGGAAAAGACGTTATGCGCACGATTATAGACATGCTTCGGCGATAAATGTGTTTCTTGCAGTCCCATCGCGGTGTGGGCACTCGGAAAAACGCGTGTATTTCTGTGGAGAACATGTCGATCTGATTGGCCGAGGTAAGCAAATGGGCGTGGACTTTCTTTTCTTAGAAACAAACTACATCAGCCTCTTCATTTTGACGTCCTGTTTGAGCATGTGGTCCGGTATCAGTTGTCACAACAATGCAGAGGGGAACCAGGGTGTCCTGAATGGAACTATTGATTCCTGCTAGATAGATGATATCCAAGGTGCGACGTGCAAGCTGCGTTGCCAACGTGTCCTTTCGATCATCAAGTTGATGTACCTTCATATGTAAAACCTCGTAAATGTTACCAATCTTGAGCATGTCAACGAACACCCCGGTAGAGATATCTGTCCAACGCCCAAGAAATATTCGCATGCGCTGCTGTCCATTCAAGATGGCAACTTTTGGGAACGTTAACGTCGCACCAGTGATGACAGCTCTGAACGGGCAGCTAGTTGGAGTCGTCTTTGTCGACGCCGACCTTGACTTCGAAGTGCTCCATGCCGCCAAAGCCGTGCTTGGACAACCAACCAGTGGGAACGACCGACTCAAACTGGGTCATCCAAGGCTCAGCAGACTCCTTCTTGAAGATGATGTGCAGGTAGGGCTTGGCGACGGCAGGGGTAGCAGGGATTACTACCCCAAGAGTTGCTGCCAGAGCTACCATAGCAGGGGCTGCAGGAATTGGAGCAGTGTCACGCTGGGCGGGCTTGCGATGAATACGAACTGATGCCAGTGAACGGCTACGAAGGATAGAGCGCCACTTTCCGTTCATGCTAGAGCATTGACGGTTTTGAAGGACGCGACGGCCGAACAGGCGGTAGCTGTAAGAGGGTCAGTGAATAGATCATTTGATGAAAGAGGCAGGGAAACTCACAGATCCTTGGCTTCACCATCAGTCTCGGCAACGTAGTTGGCCTTGAGGTAGCGACCGAACCCAGCTTCAATCTTGAGGCTGTTGGCCCAGATGTCAAGAAGAGTAAAGACCTCGATGCCATCACCAGCACGCTCCAGCTCGTTGGGCTTGTCTCCAACCGCGATGGTCAGGTTGCCGACAAAAGGCGCGTCCTCGCTGCGCTCTCCTGGAGGACCGAGGTTGGAGACGACATCTGTGGCGGTCGGATAGAAAGTCTTGAGGTAGTCCACGATCTCGGTGAGGTCCATGCCGATCTCCTGCTTGGCCATGTAGATGGGACGGTACTCAGCCCTGAGTTGACGGCATACCTGGGTAAGGCCCCAGAAGGGACGGTTAGTCTCTCGAGGCTCTGTCTTGGGCTTGGGCTTAGTCGAAAGACGAGACTTGTTGTTGCCGCCCGAGATCTTCTTTTCCTGGTCCTGGTCGACGATGTCAGACGCCAAAGTACGGCCGCGATCGAGACGAGTGCGGGGACGCAGTGAGGCGAGGCGCGGGCGGTAAACGAGGAGGGCCTGCTTGGGACGTCCATAGGTGTGCATGTAGATCTGGTTCCTGAGTTCTATCAACAGTCAGCTTGTGTCAAAAGGGTCAGAATCGCGTGACTTACCTCCGGGTAGGTCCATGAAGCGGAACGGCTTCTGCAGAGCGGGGTCGCTGGTGCCGACCTTCTCTTTGAGAGCAGCATCGACCAACTTAGCCATGGTGCCATCTGGCTTTTTCTTGGTCTTCTTCTTCACACCGGCATCAGTGCGCGCGTGGCCTCCACGCTTGCGCTTGCTCTGGCGGATGGGCAGGGCCTGGGCAGGGACAGGACTCATGTTGAGTGCCGCGAAGCCAGGTACAGGCAGTCCAGGGGAGGGCGGCACAGTCGCATGCTCCGAGCCCATGATGACGTTGAAACCGCCTTTGAAGCCATTTCGGCGTGAAGTTGGTGTAGAAGGGGCAGGAACGACTGGCGGATGACCAAACTTCCTGGGGGAAGAACGGGAAGGAGGTGGGGTGCTCGGGCGAGTAGGGCTGTCTGAGTTAGCAGAGTCCATCAAATCAATGCTGAGAGCTTTGTGGGGAAATGATAAGCTCTAAGTGTCAAGAAGGGGGACTTACGCCATGAGGTCTTGTACTTTCGGCTTGTTGCTGGGTTCGAGAGAAGCTGCTGATAGCGTGGGAAATAGTGATAATCAGATATTCAAGATAATTGCGGGATGTAGAAGTAATGGAGCGTAGACCATGGAGATTCTTTTATCTCTTGCGAAGTAAAGGTGAGCGAAGAAACGCCAACGATAATCGCCACCAGATTGTCTGACGGTGACTGGAGAAATTGCCTGAATCGGAAGTCACCTCGACATTAAGCCTCAGGTAAAAGAGCGGGGATGCTTGGCACTTCATTGTCATAATCGTATTTCGTGTTGGTATGATGGAGTTTGGAAGCAGGGATGTTGAATACGATGTCATTGTACCAATAATCCAAGAACGTGGAAGGAGCGCGTGATTCAATCGCGTGGTTGTGGGCAAGTCTTTCCTATTGTACCTACGAGGGAAGGCAGCATCGCAGTGCCAGTAGTTGCAGTCACGGCAACAGGTCATCAATCGAGATTACCCAGGTGTAGACCCTGAATATGAAGGTGAGGTGCCATTGTAGGTGGTAGCAATTGTGTAGAAAGCCATTCCCTTCAATTGTTACCTCCGGTATCGGGCTCGTGACCAAGAACACGAACGTGCCATTGTAGGGTATTGAAAAATGCTATTGTGGTGGAATGCGTCGTGACTTTGCTCCAGCGTGATCGCTTTTCCTTATCGTAGTGGTGGTATGATAGAGGCAGGTGAGGTGGGAGCCTGAAGTAGATAGAAAGTCCCTCTGTCGACCGAGTGGCTGTTGGGATGGTCGCGATGCAAGATACGGTGAGAATGCGCAACAATATATCGGAATGAGTGGTAATGGCACTGAGGGTACTAAGTACCGAGCGACGTTGTGATGGCTGTGGTGGGAGTACGAACAAACACCCTCTTATATGCAAGACGGTATCGAAAGCGGTAGAGCCTGGCAGAAATTAAAACTGCAACCCCACCAATCTGGAGGGGGATGAGATTTTACATGAGTAGATGCATTACATGAGGAAAGACCCGAAGGTTGTAGTAGAAGGAGTGGACCCTGAGAGCTGCCTGGGTCATGACGTCATCATCTCCGCATTGGCATATGCCATGTCTTCCAAAGACATCTGTGTACGGTGCGATCCGAACTCTGCTATCCCATGGTATAGTTTTCGATGTCTACATGACTTGGGATAGCTCCATGCGCAACCCGTTGTTTGCCGCTACGTCCGCTGGTAGACTGCACTCATTGACAGTAGACCCGTTAGGCCCTGCTTATTGGATTATACCACCAGAGTTTGATTTGCATGCCGCAAAAGGCCTCCAAGGCTGCTTTCATGCCACAAATTCCCTGAATCGAGGCGTCTCGTTCAAACTCTCCAACCTCTAGATAAATCTTGGAAGGCGCGTGGCGAGACTCGTGATAGATTATGATCCTGTCAAATACGTCTTCGCGTATCGCTGTGAGCCAGGTGGGGTTGTCGTATTGAAGAAGAAGCGACAAATTGTGGCAATCTCTCTCTGCCTAGACCCTGAGGCTGGGATCGGGCTCACCAGATTTACGGTAGGAATCCGTCAGGGTAACTTCAAAGTGAATCGATGTCCAGTGCGCGCGTATCCTTAGTAGCTCGTGCAGATCTCCAATCATATCCAAGCACGTAGCGGAATGGAAGATACAACCAAAGCACCGTTGACGTCTCGGTGGAACTTCCTTTTGATTCCCCTATAAAAGCCGCACGACGCGAGGACCGCCGCTCGAATCGGGCCCGGTTGGGTGGAATGTATCGAACCATGCCTGCATGAACTTGATTCTGTCCCAACGGAACGCGACTACCGCTTCACGGCACTGAATGGGCAGGTATTCAGCTCTGATTTGCCGGCAAACTTTCGTGAGCCCGGAGTCGGTGCCATGGAGAAAGATATCGTGCTGGTATCTCATGCTTGAGATAGTTTGTTCTTCAGACAACGAAGCGAAGTGGTGCACCAGATTGCGCAGTTCTGTCTATCATTAGTTTTACGTCTTGCAAAAGAGAAGGAAACAATGTCGTACCTGGTGCAAGATCGAGGAAGCGGAAAGGTATCGTGACTTTCGTGAGCCCGGCGTCGGTACCATGAAGAGAGGGTCGCTCTTCAAACAACGAAGCGGTGTGGTACACTAGGTTGTAAAGTTCTGTCTATCGTCAGTTTTACGTCTTGCAAAAGAGGCGGAGAGAATCTCGTACTTGGTATAAGGTCGAGGGAGTGGAAAGCCATCGTGAATGTGCGGTAGGTCGAGAAGTGGATTGTAAGTCTCTTTGACGGTAGCTGTGAAGTGAGCTTGTTCGCGGATCGAAATCGGTATGCAGAGGAATCGCTATGTAGGCGGTGCGACCGTGTTATATATCTTTGCTCCTGACTCACATCTAAGTGCGATGCGAAACTTGGTTCGTCCACTTCGTCCTATGGTACTGCGGCGTGGAGCAGACTAGCGAATCACAACTTCCGAAATCTACATCACACCCAATCAATTCGTTTTCCTCGACCAAAATGTGCCGTTAGCACAAGAACTTGCACACCGCAAAGTGGCAAGTGAGCGGGGAGGAGCGCTCACGAAAGATGATTGACTACGTGAGCTCTACCAGGTTCCGAGCCGGCGTACAGTGAGCGCCGACATGCTCATAGCCTCTGAGAGATAAATGACATACTTGGCAACACAAAGTGGACAGGTGATTGGGTGTAACAACCAACTTTTCATCTGATTCTCCATACACTACATACTCGGTAACGCATGCTCATCAGGCGATACGCTTGAAAGCTCGGGCTGACCAGTTCTTCAAACCCGCTCAAGTGAACATAGGTGAAAAGTACAACGCAACATGATGACCGTGTGATAGCGCGACGTCAAGACCGCGAGCGCTGCTCCATGCATCAGGCGCGCTGATCGCTTCATCGTAGTTCTTGGGGGCGTGGACACCCGTGAAGATGATACAAATACATGTAGTCTCACTAAATGATGCGCTTGATCTGATCCGGACATCTCCAATAGTCCCGTTCCTAATCTCCTCGCGCCACTTTTCGTTCGCATGGCAAGCAAGTGCGTTGAGACCACGAACTTGGTTCACAGTCCCGAAGAACATGGGGTGCTGTGCAAGACCATAGCGATTCGCAATGGCGGCGGGCACCATCTTGCAGTCCAGGTCAGGGTGGGTAGCCTTGAGCTTGAGAACCGGAAAGATGCTGAAGTGAGAGTCGGATCTGGAGGATATCGCGAACCATGCCTCGACGTGTATAGTATGAGGGAGGGACATGGAGTCTTCAGCTGTCGTCATGAATGCCCGAGCATAATGGCCAACATTTGCAAGGTCCAGCCGAACCTCAGCCATGTAACGTTGAACTGGGCGGTATTCTCGGCGGATCTGGACACACACTCTTGTGAGCGCAGCGTAGTTGCCGGACTGAAGAGAGGCATCGCATCGGATAGGAACGTGTGCGTCGGTGATTGACGCGAAGTGGTAGACTATATTGCGCAATTCTGAGAAATGTCAGTAGCTCCTCTCACGAGATACGGGTGAGGGAAGTAGCATACCTGGGTTGAGGTCGAGGAAGCGAAAGGCTATGATGACTGTGGTGCTTTCGAAACGAATGGGTGATTCGGACGACAGTAGTATCTGACGAATACAATGATGTAAACGTGGTGGCTTATCGGGAGTTTGATAGCGAAGGTAGTGACTCGTTGTAAGCGAGGACCGGAATTACCTAGGTAGTTTATCCGCACGTGAGCCCAGACAGTAGCGCTATGACCTATAGAGAGCGGTGAGTCACTGACAGCGTACTCATTACATAGGGAGTGATGGATGATTGCACTTTGTATCTACCTGTGTATCATATACATCTGGGAAGTAAACTTCAATGGACGCCCCAGTACCCAGTACTAGTCTTCACGCAGATAAAATTGGAAACCGACCACATGATCATGCGATGCCGGAGCCTGCAGGCCATGGGAGATACGCCACTCCTTGGAATCTCTCATTGTTTCTGACCGTTCCCTGCAACCAAGCATACCCACGAAGACAATCTCAATCCGTGTGAACCCGCTCTGCATCTCTATGTAGACTTCGCCAATGGAACCGTTGCTGATACACGAATGCCAGTCCTTGTTTGAGTGAAGGAGCAGCGAGTTCAGAGGTTGTGCTTGATTCGAGGCGATGGTCGCTAGAGTAGCCGCGTCATGCGGGCCACTTCCTATGGATCGAGGCCCCGTTGGGATAGTAGTGGGCACGATCCTGATGTCCAAGCGGGGGTTCTGGGCTTTGACTTTGAGAACTGGAAGTGAGTCGAAACCCAGAGTCCAAGTGAGAGATATCCGGACGTGAACCTCAAGAGGAACGACCGTCATGTCCGCGGCTGAAGTGAGAAAGGTTCGAGTAAACACGTCAAGGTCTGAAAAACTTAGGGAAAGCTTGGCCTTGCGACGCTGAATTGGTCGATATTCAGCTCGAATTTGCACGCAAGCTCTCGTAAGACCCGCATAGTTGCCGTCTTCTCCATGAGACAGCCGGGATATAGCCAGCGGCTCGTCACCGACCGCCGCAGCGATCTCGTAGATACGGTTGCGCAGCTCTACATAAAGTCAGCGCTGTCTAAAGTGCAAGTCAAGTGAATAGAGTGAAAGACTGAAATTGCGTACCTGATGGGAGATCCAGAAACCTGAAGACCATTTTTGCGCACCCTTGCGTTGACGGATGTTGTTGGTGTTCAAGTCTGATGTAGAGTTGTGTGTGTACAGTGTAATTGAGGGAGCAAGATTGATGTGAGTGTGTGGACGGGAGTCATCTAGCGGCAGCCCGTGCACATTAAGCGCGGAGGCTCATCGTGCTTTTCAAGAGTGTAGGAAGGTACAACTGAGCACGTTCTGCTAGATCTACAGCGACACAATACAAGCTATCTCATACGCACGAGCTGCGTCGACTACTCTTGTGCACCACAGTGATTGGCCGAGAGGCTCGACGAACGGAACGCCTTATACCGAAGAAGTTTGGCTGAAGAGAGTCACCGAAGATTGTCTTCAAGTGCCGAGGGATTTGGACGGCTACCCCATCGTCGTGTGCTAGACCACGGGAATATTGTTGCCCTCCTCACACACCAAATGACCGTGTCTAGCATCATCCGCTACATTGACAGTTCGCACCGTACCGAACAAACTGCCGCGCGCAACATAGAATCCGGTTGCCGCAAAGGACGTGGTATAGCTGCCACGTTGCAACGTCTGGGAAACGAGTTGATGAGAGACAATGAAGTCGAGTTTGTCTGACTAATCTTTTGCAGCAATAAGCACCTCCGAGATTCCAGCCGAGCCAAAGCGCACTCAACACCCAGCAAAGTATCGTGGAAGGAAGTCACAAAAGAACAACGCAGTCGGTAGAAGACACGGTACGAGCCGCGCGCTCAGAAGGAAGGTAAGCCGAGCGCAACGGGCACCATCCCAATTCAGGAACCATCCCGCCCCATCCGGACGACAGTCCTCCAGATTTGCCCCGCAACACCACCCCGTGACGCAATGCCATCCCATGTTTTGCTCGGCGGGGTAAAAGATGCAGCGTCAGAGTCGCGGCCTTTGAGCCTCACTCGGCAGACCTTCCTCCGCCGAATCTCACGCGTCTAGATACATAAGTGTCGACCTCCGACTCCGACTTCTTACTATACAGACTGCAAGTTAACTCGTCTTTTTCGTAATTCACAACGCTTTTACAAGCTTCTACAGCAGACCTTTCTCCCCAAGAAACCGCCAAGATGTCCATGTCCGTCGAAGAATGCCAGACGCCGCGCGCCGGGTTCCCCAAACCCGTGCCGGACACACCCACAAACGTCATGCAACAATTCAGCATGAAAGGCAAAGTCATCGTCGTCAACGGCGCAGCCGAAGGAATTGGTGGAGCCGTAGCCGACGCCATGGCCGAAGCAGGCGGCAACGTAGCCCTGTGGTACAACTCTAACAGCGCCGCCATAACCCGCGCGGAGAACCTCGCAAAGACGCACAACGTAAAGACAAAAGCCTACAGCGTAAACCAAATCAACGCCGAGGCAGTCCAAAAAGCCGTGCAACAAGTGGTTGAGGATTTCGGCCGCATCGACGTCTTCGTCGCCAACGCCGGCACAGGAGACAGCAAGCCGCTCCTCGACCAAACCCTCGACAGCTACCACAACCTCATGAAAGTCAACGTCGACGGCCCCGTTTTCTGCGCCAAGTACGCCGGCGAGGTATTCAAAAAGCAAGGCTTCGGCAACTTGATCCTCACCAGCTCAATCTCCGCGCACATTGTCAATGTACCCATCGACCAACCCATCTACAACGGTACCAAGGCGTTTATCTCGCATTTGGGCAAATCGCTGGCGAGGGAGTGGAGGGAGTTTGCGAGGGTCAACATTGTTAGCCCGGGGTTCTTTGATACCAAGATGGGGGCTGGGCCGCAGGTTATTAATGAGGGGTTGAGGATGATTCCGCTGGGGAGGCAGGGTAACGTTAAGGAGATTAAGGGGTTGTTTTTGTACTTGGGGAGCGATGCGTCGAGCTATATGACAGGAAGCGATTGTATTATTGATGGTGGGTATGTACTGCCATAGATGTGTAGTGGATAGAGAAAAGGAATTGATACCATGTCTGCTGTTCATTGAACACAGGAAAGCTATACCCGTTGCCTTCGTCAATGCATTTCCAATCGTAAACACTCCTTTAGCTCTTCAAACATGTGATTAGGGTCAAAGGTTGAAATTAAAAGGTATATGTGCTCGCTAAGCCCAGATGAAAAGAAATTGAAAACACGATGAGATGGCTACTCATCTTTACTCCTTGCCCTGTCCAGGCTCTCCCGCTCGGTCGTCTCACCACTTCCCGCTTCAACACCTTCGCTTCCCTTGCTCTCTTCATCTCTCCTCTTGTCTTGAGCGATATCTGGCGCAGGTGCAAAGTTGCTCTTGCCCCGAATTCTCTTACCAAATACATAGAAGACCACTGGCATCGGTACCAGTACGAGCGCCACGCAGCCAAGCAGTGTACTGGCCCATTGGATTCCCATACCGTTGAACATGAAGGTTGCGAATAGTGGGAAGACTCCACCAAACATGGACCGCATGAAGGTGTTTGCTGCAATAGCGGAAGCGGCAAACATGAGGTACGCGTCGACGATGTAGTTGAGAAGCGAGAGGAAGATGGAGAAGATTCCGAAGCCGGTAAAGAGACCGCTCAAGACAGGAACGATCCAGTGAACGTTGCCGGTGTAGCCAGTCCATCCGAACCAGAAAAGACCGGCTGCGAAGAGCACGCCACCAACCATACTGATGGGTAGGCGCCATTCTGGAACGGGGATGTTGTTGTTGGCTTCCAGCTTTTTGATGTATCGTGGATTGTCGACGACAATGATGATGAAGGCGATGACTTCACCAGCGACCATGCCGAAGTAGGCAAGTCCGCCGATGCCAGGACTCCAGCCGTAGACGCCTTGGAAGACGAGGGCGTATGCGGTAAGGAAGAGGTAGAGTAAACCATCTAGAATTGTTAGCTGAGTTCTTGTAACGAGATGGGATGGCCAAACGTACAGATAAAGCTCATGTAGATGGTGATGAGCAGTACAATTGGCTCAGTGAAGAGAATGCGCATCGGTCGGCTGACGTTCTTAACGATCAGCTCCTTGAAGTCGACTTCAATTTCCTCCTGCTTCGCGTGGATACCCCAGTTCTTGGTTCGTCTCCTGAGCTCGCTCGCCTTATTGATCAGCACAACGGGAGGATATGTCTCCTCCATGAAGAAGAAGAGCAGAGCGAACGACAGAAAGCCCATGAAACTGCTAATGTATTCGGTCCACCGCCATCCCAGATCGCTCTGTGTGATGAATCCTCCGATGAAGGGTGCAAGTAGAGGGCCCATGAAGACAGTTGCGGAGAAGACTGCGACGGCAAGACCGCGAAGTTTGTTGTCGAACATATCCGCAAAGACAGCGGCGACGATAGCGAGCGGAGAGGAGCCGAAGAGACCGGCGAAGAATCGACATATCATGATGGTCTGGATATCTTTGGCTGCGGCGACCGCGATGCTGAAGATGGCGAAACCAAAGGCGGCGATGATGAGGGGAGGTTTTCGGCCGTACAACTCGGAGAAAGGCGCCCACATCTGGAAGTTGTTAGCATACCTGATCGCATGTCTATGGTCAGCATTCACTTACCAAAGGCCCAAAAGCATATCCAAAAACGAACAAACTCGTTCCTAGGGTACCCACAACATTGGCAACACCGTATTGTTGCGACACTGCTCCGGTAGCGGCCGAAAAGATACTGCTACCCATGGTGGCTGTGAGGGCGTCGAATGCTAGGATAGCACCTATGCCAATCTTCTTCTTCATCGGCCAGTTCTGCGCATGCAGCGGATCGTCGACGCCGTCGAACTCGACTACATATTCTTCCCTGTCCGGTAGAAGCGGGGGGAAAGGCTTGCCAGCTCCTAGGTTCGGCAATGGCTTCTCTGTACGACGGCGTGTGAGGGTCCTCGACAACCGCGAATCGACGCGCGATGCACCCACTGTGCCTGCATGTTGACTTCTGTGTGTCTCGATCCGGCGGATAGCTTCGGGGTTGCGTTCGGTGGGATGTAGTGTCAGGTAGTTGCCGCTCGAGGCCTGCGAATTGACGGTCGGTCGGCGGTCGCGTGCGGGGGTTGAGCGGGCAGTGCGTATTTCTTCGAGGCGTGCGCTATGTGTGGATGCAGAGCTTGCAGAGCTAACCGTCGAAGCCGAAGATGTGCTGTGCCGCGAGAGAGGTGAGGCGACCTCCTCTTCCTTTTCTGTGGTTGGTGATGCTACTGCTTCTGTTGGGAAGGATATCTCGCTCTGGGTGCGCTCTCCTCGCTCGTGTGCTTCGATGTTGCGCAGGCGCTCATCAGGTGTCTGATCGTGCAAATGCCGTCTGTGGTACTCTTCGCGAAACTGGCTGTGCGGGTCCCAATTTGCAAAGCGCTCAGGGCTTGCATTCGCCTCATTGCGCAGGATGTCCAGGTCTTCGTTCTGCATCTTGATCGCAATCTCCTCTTTCCCCGACGAAGGTGGTGAGAGTGGCTGTCGCGCTGGAAAGCGATAGAAATTGCCAGCGCTCGGCTGTCGGAACAATAATAGTAAATGTTCAGCCCGACGACGAGGCCGTTGTGGATCGTGTGGATCTAACGCGCGACGGTACGACTAGTCGTGACCGTGTTTTCGGGAGATGGACGCGGGTGCTGTCAATGGCGATGAACAAGCTTCAATCGTTCAATCGCTTGACAGCAGCCCGTCGCCCTAAGTATCTGGCGCGCGTGGCCGTCATGAGCGAAAGATTTGCTCGCCTGCACATCTCCCGCATCTGTCCCATGCGACATGGCGAGAATATTGCCGACACCAGTGTCCATATCCGGCGGACAGAGGGTGAGTAAGCCACCGCTAGCCGACTGCGCGAAGGCGGTCAGAGACTTTGTGCATCGTGATTGGGCGGAGCAGTCGACACAGCGAAGAGGTTTGCCGGCGGAAATAGAAGTTCGCCTACGTCATGGGCAGAATCTGCTGGGTAATCAGCGGCGCAGGCCATCGTCATCACCGTGCATACGTAGCGCCTCATGCAAGTGGGGCACCTCGTGGTCCTCAATTGAGAAACCGTCGCAATAGGGGGAGATGCAATTGATGCCCATTCGTATGCCCAGCGA